GCCGCGCGGGGACCCGCAGCCCGAGGTCGCCGCGCCCCGCGGGGGGACCCGGGCCTTCGCCAAGAGGACGCTGACCTGGCGGCTGCTGGGGGAGGGCGCCAGCGGGCAGCTGGCCGTGGACGAGCAGAGGCACATCCTCAGGCTGGCCTTCCGGATGTGGAGCGAGGTGATGCCGCTGGACTTCCGGGAGGACCTCGCCGCCCCCGGAGCCGCCGTGGACATAAAGCTGGGTTTCGGACGAGGTGAGAAGGGCGAAGACTGCAGGCGGGCTGAGCCCCACTGCCTTCCCGCACGGCCGGGCGTGGGGCCCGGTTCACTGGGAGCTCCGGGGCCAACAGGCCGACTGGGGGAATCCCGCTCCGGTCACCTGCAAAGCCTCCTGGGGTGTCCGAGGTGGCACCTGCCAGGGGTATGGGCGGATGGCAAACCCTCTGTAGGTGCTGCTTTATTACCACTCACTGGGAAGGGCACGGCATGTCTCCGTGCGCCCACCGGGGAGCGGTCACATGGGGACATCAGTGCGGGCCCTCCGCTTGTCTCTGAGCAGATCAGCCCCGTGAGCCCTGCTGCAGAGACCTCATCGAGCCCAGCAGGGCGCGAGCCAGGCCTGGCTGACCCTTCCCGCCACTCCTGGGGAGAACTAGCGCGTGGTGGTTTGCTGGCCTCCACCAGCAGGCCCCACCACCTCCTAGCTGGGTGGGTTTGGAGAAAGTAACTTCTCTGCACCCCATCTGGGAGCTAGGGATGCTCACACCTGCCCTGCTGGTCTGACTGGATTGACTGTCCTGCTGTGAGCCCTACACAGGAGGCTTGTTGAAAACCGTACACAGGGCAGGGACCATCGCGCAGCACCTCCTTCATGTCCTGACCACTCAGCTGTTAGGATCCAGCTCAGATCTTGTCTCCTCCCTCAGCCTTTGGATGGCACCCCCCCCCCATTCCTCTGGGCTCCCACAGGTTTGCTAGGCAGCTATCTCCAAGTGTTTAGACTCGACACCACACTGTTGCACAAGCCAGGAGTGGTTGCTTCTGCTCCTGGACTGTGAGCCCCCGGAGGCCGCGAACCCTCAGGTGTCCGTGTTCCCTCTCCCCTTGCCAGGCCGGCACCTGGGCTGTCCTCGGGTTTTCGATGGCAGCGGGCAGGAGTTTGCACATGCCTGGCGCCTGGGCGACATCCACTTTGACGATGATGAACACTTCACACCTCCCACCAGTGACGCGGGCATCAGCCTTCTCAAAGTAAGTGGTCTGCAGCTGTGCGGAGGGACCAGGCAAAGGGCACGCAGCATGGGCTGGAGCGCAGAACGCCAGGGCTTCTCGGGGGAAGTGTCCACAGCCTTCTGAGAAAGCTCCCCGAGTCTCCCCATCGCTCCCCTTCTCCTTAACAAGTGCCGTTCCTCCTAAAGCACAGGCCTGCCCCTGGAGTGGGGGGCGGGGGGTCCACGTGACTCCCAGACACCCAGGGTTGGCACCGCACCCGTGGTTTGTGTTCCCTTCTAGGTGGCTGTCCATGAAATTGGCCACGTACTCGGCCTGCCTCACACCTACAGGACAGGATCCATAATGCAACCGAATTACATCCCCCAGGAGCCTGTGTTTGAGTTGGACTGGTCAGACAGAAAAGCAGTTCAAAAGCTGTATGGTAAGACTGTTCTGGAAGATCGTGAGCTCTTCCTTCAAGGTGGCCGTGCCCCAAGGGTAGCCACCGGTGCAGAGCAAAGCACTCCCGTGGATGTTCCCTCTTCCCTGCGCTACGTTATGTCCCTGGGAGGACGGAGGGTAACAGGGTGGTTTCCTAGAGCGCAGTGGGCCACCCAGGCGGTGGCCTCCCGTGGGTGCCACAGGCACTTGGAAACCCCTGGGAGAAGTTCCCTGCAGTCCCAAGGCAAAGAACAGCGGGAGCCTTGCCAGGATCAACTTTAATCTCTCTTCAGTTGTTCAGGCCAAAGTGTTAATGGTTCATTATTTAATGGAAGTGATTAATGACCTAGCGTTGAGGCTGAGGGGAAAGAAAGCTACTCTCCCCTTTTCCATTTAAAACGGAGAGCACCACCATTTCTGTTCCACTCCAGCCATTCTATGCGAAGATGCTCTCAGCACGTTTGGAGAGTGACAAATGCCAGGATGGATTTCTTTCCTGCAGAGGAAATCTTACTCTTGTGTGTGCCCAGAACCAAACTGCTTGCCTCTCATGAAGTCAGACGAGCCATCAAGAGGCATTAGTTATATTTAGGGTGATCACATACCCAGCATCCAAAATCGAGACATCTCAAGAGAGTAATCTTCTGCACAAAGATTAGCCAGAACGGCCCACATGAGCCGGCACTGCTGCAGGCCCCCGGGGCCCCTCCAACTCCTCCTGCTCGGCTGGGTAGGCCTACTTCAGTCTTGGGGGGCATCTTGCTTTGAGACAGCTTAACAGAACACTCCAGCTTCGCAGTTGTCTCTGTTCGAGTCACACGTGAAAATAGCAACTGCTGGTTTTTGCACCAGGTGACCAGGGGCTGGACTTTTTTTTTCTTTCTCAGGTTCATGTGAAGGATCATTTGATACTGCATTTGACTGGATTCGCAAAGAGCGAAACCAACATGGAGCCGTGATGATGCGATTTAGCACCTACTTTTTCCGCAAGAGCTGGTACTGGCTTTACGAAAATCGAAATAACCGGACGCGCTACGGGGATCCTATCCAAATCCTCCGTGGCTGGCACGGAATCCCAACACAAAACATCGACGCTTTTGTCCACCTCTGGACATGGAGAAGAGACGAACGTTATTTTTTTAAAGGTAGAGCTTCTTCTGGACGGTTCTATTTCTTTTATTACAGAGATGCATTCAGAACAAATGTTTTGAGCTCCATACCGAAGAATCTTAGTATAATGCTCTTGCAATTACTCACCTCATTTCTGTCTGTTCTGTCAGACTGTGAGCTCTGTGAGCACAGGGACTGTGTTGTATTCCCTGATCTCTGTAAGAAGGCACTGAATTCATCAAAGGAACAAATGAATGAGTGAATGAATGAGTAGACCAACTATGCCAGGCCCTGAGGTGGTTGCGTAAGAAAGGGCCCTCCTTAGAGAAGTTTTAACTAGTTCTGAGAGAAAAGACCTTAGAAGCTGACCACTAGAATTATGTGGTGAAGGGAAGGATGAGCGGACAAGGTGATCACTACCCCTGGAACCAGATGCTGGAGCCACCCAGAACTCAGGGCTTGCCCCAGCCTCAGAGGATGCGTAGGACCCCGGGTGCCCCTAAAGGGACACCGGGAATAGCGTGATGGGGGAGGTGCGGATGGGGGTGAGGGGGCGGTGAGACACAGGAGGCAGAAGCAAAGCTTTAGGGTGAGTGAGGGTGAAAACGCAGATGGGAGAGACAGCTGAGCCCATGGAGGTGTGACAGGGCACTCACACGGGGTGAGATTAGGTTAGAAAGACAGGGTCACCCTGAGCACCAAGAGCCTCTGTGCTCAGAGGCTGGAGGTCATCCAGCAGGCAGGGAGGAATCGGTGGTTTCCAAGCAGGGAGGATCAGTGTTTTGCTGGAAGGCAGAAACTGAGGTGGGGGGCCCCGGTGGTGGGAGGGACACACAGAGCAGGCAGGCCAAGACTCTCTTGCTGCTGCTTTACTCACAGACCACCTTGCCCAGAACCTCTGTGCCCGTCACGGAGGCTGGCTGCCTTGGCAAACCAAATGCGTGGAGCCTAACCACAAACAAGGTTCTGTGGTTGCTGCTTTTTCTTTCCCTTCCCCAGACTTTCGCCCTAGAGGTAAGGGGTGCGCCCTGTCTCTGCCCAACTCCCTAGTAATACGACCCTATTGTCTGAAACCGCTCAGGACTCAGTGAGGCAAGAGCCCAACCAAAAAGATGCTGCATGCAGATTTGGCTGTAGGAAACCTGCGTATGAATTTGGTCTTAATTTTCCTTACATCACACAAAGAATTATTTTGGTTCAGTTACATAAAGAAATTGCCCAGGGTGGACCTGTCTGGTTTAGGTCTTTCAGAGTTGGAAGCACAACATTCAGTGCTTTAGAAGTCCTGGACTAGAATTTATACTGGCAACAAAGACTCTTAATTATAGAATTAGGTCATCGTGGGGGATTGCTATCATATGGCTGTATTTTATTCTTGGAGCTTTAAAAACATCTTAAAGTTAACTTGCTGTGTGAATACTTTGAATTCAAAAAGTATTCCAGTTAGAGTGAATTGCACCCCCCGGCTGGACACACGTCATTCACTGTTCTTTCTCGATGGCAAACCTTTGGGGGGGGGGGGGCGAGGGGCGGGGAGGGAATGAGGGAGAGGGAGCTCACATGGTTGGTGGCTAAGGAGTGTAACTGGTTGTGGCGTGGTGTAAGTTGTGAACACAAAAATATCTAACCCCGTGGATTTGTTCTATTTTCTGCTGACAATATGCCAATAGTCAGGATTAGGAACTATTAAGGAGAATTTAGAATAATCTTGTGGTGTTTCAGAGCATGAAATTAGCAAGAGGGCAGTGGGTGGAATCACGTGAGTGGAACATGGGAAGAGGGGCCTGCACCGGGTCCACCTGGGCTGTGATCTGGACGGACCACTTCAGCTCTTTTCTAAAACGATGTAATTCTAAAATCCTGAAAAAAAGTAAAACCCCATCATAAGCCTCAGGATTGTTTTCTGTAAAAAGAGGGCTTAGGTTGATTATGGTAGGAAAATGACTCAGGACAACCCATGGGTCTCTAACATGTAAAAGGCAGATCATGAGACTATATAGGAAGAAACAGAAGAAGAATCTTCTGTGAAGAAGACCACATGATTTTTGTCCTTTCGTTTTTGCTTTTGATGAGTGCCAGTGGGCTGGAGTGCCCGACAGAAGACAACTAACATTTTCTTTTTTTTTTTTTTTTAAAGATTTTATTTATTTGAGAGAGAGAGCACGAGAGAGGGGAGGGTCCGAGGGAGAAGCAGACTCCCTGCTGAGCAGAGAGTCCAACTCGGGGCTCAACCCCAGGGTCCCGGGACTCCGGGATCACGACCTGAGCTGAAGGCAGATGATTAGCCAACTGAGCCACCCAGGCGCCCCTGACAACCAACATTTCAATAGCAGCAGCGAGTTCCAGGATCTATCTAGAAGTAATTCGAGACCTGGGGAATCATTCATCTGAATGGAGGCTTTGCTTAGAGGCTGAGGTCCTGCCTTGTCCTGGGATCACAGGAGAACATCATGGCTGGCTGAGACCTATGTTGAAAGCAGTCCCTCTTCATGGTTTGCTATAATTAAATGGTAATAAACCATATTAGCATTTTTTGTTTGGCCCTCAGGAAATCAGTACTGGAGATATGACAGTGACAAGGATCAGGCCTACACAGAAGATGAACAAGGAAGAAGCTACCCCAAATTGATTTCAGAAGGATTTCCTGGCATCCCAAGTCCCCTGGACACTGCCTTTTATGACCGAAGAAAGCAGTTAATTTACTTCTTCAAAGAGTCCCTCGTAAGTAGGATGCTTTCCAGCCTGGTGTTGCTTCTTCACCCCTACGTGAAATTCAAGGTCTTAGTTAAAAGTTGTTCTCAGTTGCCTCAGACCTCTGTGGCCATGGCAGATCCCATCATATGGAAAATGAAGAACTTCAAGCCCAGAGAATTTGGTGCAAAGCCACAGATTTACTTACCTCATTCCTATAAATTAACCTAAAAATCAATGATTTTCAGAAAAGCCAGCCTTAACTCTCTTCCTTGCTTTGCAGGTGTTTGCATTTGATGTCAACAGAAATCGAGTACTTGATTCTTATCCGATGAAGATCACTGAAGTGTTTCCGGAAATAGAGCCAGGGAACCATCCCTTCAGGAATATAGACTCAGCCTATTACTCCTATGCACACAACGCCATTTTCTTTTTCAAAGGCAATGCATATTGGAAAGTAGTTAGCGACAGGGACAGACAACAGCATTTTTGGCTTCCTTCAAATGGCTTATTTCCGAAGCAGTCGATTTCAGAGCGGTGGTTTGACATTTGTGACGTCCATACCTCCACCCTGAACATGTAATGAGAAAAACGGGCAAACGGGAGTCAAAGGATTTCTAAGAGAAAGTCTGATTTCTTTTACAAAGAAAACAAACCAGATTTTTAGTAACCAAATAAGGCTAAAACCCGGTGGGAAAAGCATTACTTGAACTTTTAAAATACTTGATTTAAAAGTGAATTTCTCAGGCAAAAAAAAAAAATCCACTGAATAATTTTGCCAATCTTTTAGAAAAGGTTAAAAAAAAGAATCCTGAGGAATCCGTCTTTCCACCCCCCGCCCCCTAATTTCATGGATGGACGGAAACGTAGCTATAGCCATAGGATCCAGTCATGGAAGGAAACGCAGCTCCCTGGGGGCATTCAGTGGAAAAGGTCACAGATTTCAAATTGACTACAGTCCACAATTCCTGTCATAATTTATATTTTTCTAATACATGACTGTGTACAGAAGGTTTTCCCATGTATTTCTCGATCTTCACAAGTCTGGCAGAGTGCCAGGGGACCTACTCCTGTGCACATTTCTAGTCGAGGAAGCTGAAGTTCACACTTGCATCCTTCCCGGAGTCAGATGCCGTGGTTGCTGGCGACCCTCGCCTCCTCGCTCCAGCCCAGTGCCCAGGCAACCTGCTCTCCATCCCTGCCCTGAAGTTAACTGCAAAACAAGTCATCTCGGTGATCAGGCCACGGATGGCACAATTCTTCTCAAGTAAAAGCTAAGACATGAGCACTTTAAGCAGCACGAACTTAAAAGTCAGATTACAAAAACATTGAAAAAGACCTCTCTCCCCCTGTAGGGATGTTCATATTCTTGCTCGGACAAGGGAAGACAGCTAGAATTGGTATCTTCTTGCTTAAAAACAAATACTCCTCTGGACGAAAAGGCTGTTCAGCCAAGGAGAGGCCAGAGAACAAGACCGGGGCTGCAACATCCCTGACGCCAGCTTACTTCAGCGTCAGATCTTCTCCACGGAAGCGTGCAGGTTTAACTAGCGGAGACAGCGCTTGCCGATGGGGGAGCAGAGTGAACGCTGTCCTGACAGGAGACTGAGTCTGTGCACTGGCTTCATGACTTAGTCAAAACTTTAAATGCTTCAGTGATTTTTGAAAATGGATGCAAATCTGTCCCAACGAAGTTGCAAACTAAGTAACAAGGAAGTGGACAAACGGCCAGCGGCCAGGAGGAGCTCCGCCGAGCTAGGACAGGTGTCCACACACCGCCAAGGAAAACACCCCAAAGTCTTGGTGCATGAGAAAGCACTCCGTAAAAACTCCGCTTAAAACAAGCTTATTCCAGACAACTTTCCCTATAGTTCAGATTCCTCCAGAGAGGTGTGGCTGCTGAGCGGAGGGGTTCTGCAGGATCTGCAGGGAAAGGGGTCTGCCGATGGCATGAAGGAGGTCGGAGTGGCGCTCGGGGCCAGGCCAGCGGACTTGGAGGCAGGGCAGGCTGTCTACAAAGGCCTCATGCACCTAAGTCCCATCCACCCACCCGACAGGAAAGAGTATGCTTGATTTCTGTTCCATTTCCTCGAAACGGATTTTAGTAGGACAGGACAAGCACAGCGTTGCACGATGTATGTAGGCACGGAGAACAACAGAGGCCATGTGTACGCAACTGGACAGGAGCCGCGCAGGAAAAGGGGCGAGAAATGAGTGTGACGTTCTGGTGAGAACTTAGTGAGTGGCACAATTTTATTTTTAACATTTTAATCTTTCCTTTGTAAAATTCATTCATTAAACCAGTTCAAATCAAAACTCAAAGTCAAGAACGTGAAATGGAAAAATACGAAGACATTTTAAATAAATAATTTATTTATTCAAAATAGTTTTCTTACCTTATTCACAGTTTCAAGTTTAAAATGGAAAAAAAGGGGGGGATAGTACCTATTCTTGATCAACTGTCATACAAAGTCAAAGAAAAGCGGATCCTTTCAGAACATGCACTAAATACAGAAACTCGCACAATGGCCAGTCTCCATCAAATCGTGCACCGAAGCTGAAGGAGGACGGGCTTCCTTCTGTGCAACTGAGGAGACGCTGCAGATGCACAGGACATTTCTCTAACCCATGTGAACCACTAAAATCATGTGGAGAAAAGTTCCCTTGACCAAAGTAACATCATCCAAAATAATTATTATCTTAAACCCATGTAGCTTAACATACCTCAAAAATGTCTACAAGTGTACCAGCCACCACAGCAAGTCTGTTAACACTGAGGTACCGTGTACTTCTCAAAGAAACAAATGCTGGGAGCCCCAAGTCTGATTCTGATTTTAGCACTTCCAATGAAAAAGTCAAAGAACTCAGCCATGACTTGTCTGTCATGGGAAAAGAGAACTCTGGTTCCACTGCCGGGCCTGTTGTAGGTGGAGATTTCCCTCATATTTAATGAAACGAAGCACCGAATGGACAAACGAGCCCCCGGGAGCAGAAGGCACTGACAGGATCTCCTCGGCCGGAGCCTCGGGCACGAGTCACTGCACGCCGCTGCCGCGAGCAAGCTGATCCAGCAAATGGATGAGAATGTCAATTCTTTCCAGAAGAGTTGCATTTTTGTTAGCAATAGCTCTCAAAAGCTGCGAGTAAATCTGCTTGTTGGTCTTGAGGACTACATCTTCCTCAGTATTACTGCTGCATTAAAACAAAAACAAAGACGTGAAGTACACAGCAATGCCCACCAATTCAAGAAGAAATCCAAAAAAGTAAATAGGAATAGCCCGTCACTTTTCACTGGGAAGCAGGTGTTCTATTCATGTTTATTCCATACTTAACCTTCTTGCATCTATTGCTTAGAGGCCTGTTTGTGGACATTTACTTCACTGCATCAATTAGAACCAATGCTCCTTCTCTTTATGAGTCTCCGAGTGCGTCCCGTGTACTGGAAACGGCTCCTGGCAGTGGACAAACCAGACCAAGAGCCCCCGCCCTCTCGGCACCTGTGTTCCACTGAGGGAGGAGTAGAGGAGAAGCCGTGCATTGAACAAGAAGGAAACAGCGTGTCAGAGCAGACACGCTGTGAAGAAAATCCAGCGGAGACAGGCTAAGTACGGCACAGAGCTGTCCAGTATTTCCTCCGTTCTCTGTGCTGAGCCTGACAACCCTCAGATCAACCAGCCTGAATATGGGGATGCTCTCCGTGGGGCTAGAACTGCACCGGACTGAAGCCCAGACCCCAGACTTGGGAGCCACTCTACCTTGACGTATCCACTGTCCATGCAACATCGTGTGAAGAATGCCCTTTGAGTGCAGGGTCCTAGACATACTCCACTTAAAAACTGTTTTAACAAAGACTTCAGTTGTCCTGAAAATAGGTCCCCCACAGGAAAGATCAATAGATTATATTTATGTTACTAGTAGAAAAGATTAGTAATTACATGGCAGTTCATCTCTAGCCTCTAGCATCCTTCCCCCCCGTCCCCTTTTAAACGAGTCCAGATGCAATACAGACCCTCTGGCCACACGGGACCGGCTACTGTGGACAGTGGATCGTCTCCTCCGAGTGTGCGTGTCTGCATCTGAGCCATGTGACAACCATCGCCTCAGAAGGGCAAGGACTCAGAATATTCCTACCTTACAGATGGAAAAACCAAGGCCCAGAAGGGCTAAATAATTTGTACTGAGGTCAAAACATTATATTCTGACTTCAAATGCTGTGTTCTTTCCATTCACCAATGTACAAATGTTCTGCTTTTGCCTGAGTGCCCATCAGGCCGGCCAGAGAGCCAACCAGCAGCCTAGAAACTCCCGTTGGTGCACATCAAGACTCAGGATAGGAGGACTCAACAGGACCCACCTGTCCATGCTGGGGCCGACCACGGGCCCAAGCTGGAAAGAGTGGGGACCCCACACACCCCTCTCTAGAAACCCATTTCTCTTCTCCCTCTTAGTCCTACTTCTTTTATCAGGCAAATCTCTCTTCCTTTCAAACCACCTGTGGCAGAGTAAAAGTGATCATTCAAAATGCATTCACTGTCTACAGTTTGGGCCTAAGAGCACTGTGTTTTAATTTCTGGGTGGGGCTGACATTTATAAAACCTCTGATAATCTTATAAGAAATTTAAACTCCTGACAAATCAAGGCAGTAGTACTTAATCAGTGCTCCAAAAATGAGTTTTTCTTCATGGACAATGATACCATATTTTAGCTGGGGGCCTAAAGATAACTGATGGCTGCTGGGATCATAAATTTAAAACCCTCTGAGATTTGTTCTGATCCTATTTCTGAATCTTAAATATTCCATCTTCCAATTTTTCTTTTTTTAAAAAGATTTATTTATTTGAGAGAAAGAGAGCATAAGCAGGGAAGGGGCAGGCAGAGGGAGAGAAGCAGACTTCCCACTGAGCAGGGAGCCTGATGTGGGACTCGATCCCAGAACCCTGAGATCATGACCTGAGCCAAAGGCAGACGCTTAACCAACTGAGCCACCCAGGTGCCCCATCTTCCAATTTCTACAAATGATTCCCATCCTTCATCAACTCTCATCAACAGTTTCATTGAACCATGAACTCTAACAAGAAAGGTCTCAACATTTCATTGGCTTATCTTTTTTCCAAAGGCAACTAACATTCCTCTATTTTCCTTTTAATAATCTTAACCAAATATTAAACATACATATTAAATGGCCAGGAACAGCCCATAAAGCTAAAAGATCTGCTCTCTGCACTATGGTCAAGGGCTTTCCAAACCCTCAGAGATTACTTCTATTTTTCATAGTTTTTCATTCTATGAAACCCCAAAGCCATCAAGAAAGGTCAAGAGGCTCCAATCTGCTAAAGCAGTGAGTATTAACATATAGTACAAGAGTAAATAAATTCTTCATCCAAAAAGAGAACACAACCCAACAGATAAAACAAGCATTTCTAGCAGGACAACACCGGTTGTCATAAGAGGAAGTTGTCATAAGAGGATTCTAAGAAAATTAAGATTTTTAATTACTAAGTTGTTTTCTTTTTAAAGCAGGGTTGTGGTAGGTAGAGAATAATCAAAACAAAACACAAACATACTATTTCCTCTCTTTTAAAGTCTAGTTCTGGGGCGCCTGGGTGGCTCGGTCATTTAAACGTCTGCTTTGGCTCAGGTCATGATCCCAGGGTCCCGGGATGGAGCCCTGCATCTGCTTCTCCC